GAAAGGCAGTTGCATTCCCGGCCCAGCCTTGGACCCGAGATCATTCTGTGGAAATAATATAACAATCAAACGTTTAGTTCTCATATATTCTTGCCCTTCTCTGTAGTTTATGGATCCATGTCCCACTATGAAAGAACAGTTAGCACCAGATCTAAGGAGGGCAAGCTGATATGCGTTCTAAATAAGTAAATCAAAGGGAAACCTAGAGGGTCCGCACGTTTACGGAATTTTTGTCTTTACAGTAAGATTGGCGTTCTTTGCCCTGGAATGTAAGCTTAGACTTTTCCATAACTTTGACTAACTCATCATTCATTGGGTCTTTTGTGAACGAAGCTATGGTAAGGAGCACCGCATTGAAGCTGATGAGCGGTGGCTCGCGTCGCCGCTTCTGAACTCCCCGGATCGTGTGCTCCGTCCTCACAACTAGCTTTTCCTTGAACACGGAATCCTTTGATAATCGTTTGGAAGGACGTTCGTAACCATTGGGCTAACACTTACTCAAACAACCAAGCAGCTAACCGTAACCTTTTCTTTTTTCAAACCCATTGTATATACAGTGACTCAGCTGACAGGATGATAACTAGCTCATGAGTTCCTTCCCTCCTTGCTGAACCACTAAACCACTTTTTCTTCGAAAAAAAGGCGCTCCAAGCAGATAACGATGTAGCAATTTGACCCCAGTGATTACAAACACTTTTAGTCGCACACATATTTACATGTTACGAAGAGACTTCGTGGCTTCCTAAATTTGCGACAAATAATCCTTTTGTGAGGCCTGGCATAGGTTTTTCTTTACTTTTTTCACAACAATGGAGGGCGGATGCAGTGGTCATGGCTTTGCTTTGCATGTTGTCATTGTGGAGAGGCAGCAGTTACATATGCGATCGCAAAATATTTTCTTGGGAAGAAGAGAGAAGGGGAAGAGGCGTGGTTTAAGTGGGGCTAAGCCACGCCTCCTTTTTTGGTTTGTAGTTTTTTTCTAACTTGCTAAATTTGGAAACTTCGAGGATAAATGGCCTAAACTGCTGATGAGGTGCGAGCTACAATGCACAAAAATGGTTTCATAATTGCTGATTAAAACTTCCAATTAACGTCTTCTGCACCCAATGGTAGTTACAAATGATACTTCTGTTTCAGTTCACCTCATCCACTTTCCCTGTCAGTCCGTACTCCGCGTAGTGATTTGTATAATTCCAAATCGAGTTTTTTTTTTTTCAAGCCACTCAAAATAGATAC